TAGGTAAGTTATGGTACTTTTTAGTTTACTCTCGAATCGCTATCATTAAGTAATAAATTCTTTGATTTAGGTTTACTTTCAATCGCTATGAAAACCGGATTCATAACGAATAGCCCAAATTAATCCATTTAATTTATTCCAATAGAGTAAGTACAGGATAACGTATTTTCTTTGATTTGAAAGATTTACTAACGCGTATTCATTTTAGGCACTATTTCGATTGTCGTTGATATAATATTTTAAAAAAGTGTCGTTGATTGAAAAATTTGCTGTCGTTTAATAGAGAATTTATTCCTGCGAATTGAATTAACTCTTTATTCTTTTGGAATTAATTGTGCGTGTATTGCACTTACGTTTTTCTTATATAAATTTTTTTTTACTAATCAATTATCAACCCTCTCCATTTTAAATATACATTTTATATAATATATGTTTCAAGATCTAATACCACCAAAAAAAACTTTTATTTTAATATTCCCTTTTTTTGCCAAATGCCTTTAAGTGATTAACTACTTAATTATAATATTTAACTTTAACAATGATTTTATATTAAATTGAAAAACAATGGTGCAAAAGTCAGTCAGGTTATTGCTAGTTTTTGTATTATGAACATTTTTATTTTTTTATTCCGTTTTCTGCTTTTTTTTTCGAATTTATATTCCGGAATATTTTTCGTGCGTAAAGAATAAAATTATGTTTATCTTCAATAGTCAATTTTTGCTAAGTATAAAAAATTTGTATATACTAATAATTGTGAGATACTAAGTATTTTTACGCGCTCATTTTGACATATGACTTGACATGTCTAAAATATTGTACTGAAAAAGTCATCATAGAAACTTCTGGAAATGTTTGGAAGCGTTCAGAATAAATAATACATTCAAACACGGAAATTTCAAGATATTACTGGTACTTTCGTGAATCTCTTCCAAATTCCTGTATTATGTGCATGTAATTATGTAAAGGATGTCTCAAAGTTAAATTTTCTTTTGATAGCATATGCACAGTACTAACACCACCTCACCTTATTTAATCCTTAAATCGTAAAACAATGAATAAGCACAACTAAAAAACCTGATGGTATATATTTTCTCACAATTTTAAATTATCGTCATTTAGATATATTTTTGTGATTTAAATTGTGCAGTACTTATTCACGGTAATACACTTTCAATGCGTCGAGGGATGCTGGTTCTTTTCCTTTCTCGACGTTCAAGAAAGCATAGAAATAATTATAACGATAACGATCGTTACAGTCAACTCTCTCTAAATGTAATCTATTTTATAGTGCCGGTTCCAAGAGTATGCATTAAGAAAAGTATAACGATAACTGTATATAGAATTACTATCGCTATTGTAATATTGTTTAATACATACTGATACGTATCTTGGACCTGGTACTATAAAATCCATTTAAAAGAGGGTGACTATAGAAAAGTTTTTTTTTTTACTACATAATAATCACATACACATAAATTATATGTACCATTATAAATTATTATCTATATTAAATATAAGACATTGTCAGCGAATGATATATAAAAGCAAAGTAATTTATCATTACGTATACATGTATTACCCCCAAAAAGTATCACGCGATTTAAAATTATATAGTAAAATACATATAAAAAAATTTTTGTTGATTTTATAATTAAAACAGTTCTTTCATTTCAAAAGTTCCATAAGTCTTGTTCATTTTTTAATATAGTTGATTAGCTTTAAAATGATAAATAACTTGAAATTTTCAATTTTCATATATAAAGCGTGAGAAAAAAAAGTTTTTTTTTTTTAGATATATACATAGCTTAAAAATTTCTGTTTTATTATATAATTTTGGACCGGGCGGGCGAAATTTTTTGGGGGGGGGGGGTGCTTACACAATTATTATTAAAATAGAGTCAAATTAACTAATAGTACATGTATATCTGAAAGAAAAAGATGCGAGTTCAATGCATGTATATAGTCATAATGAGTTATCTAATATTACTTTAAATAATGAAATTTGCTTTGTCTTTAGAAATATCCCTGTAATATATTTGTACCAAAAGTTACATTCAGGTTTGTGTATAATGAATTAGAATGTAATTCAATTTCTATTTGAAATTTTTCAAGATAAAGCGCACAGGATTACATTCACCTTTATTCAACAATAATCGAATAGTTTAGCGTTAGGTTTTTAATTTGATAAAGCAATTTAGTACATGTAATTGTTTTTGGAGAATGATAATGCGCCTTCAGTACGTATCGGTATGCATATAATTATGTTGTGCTTCATGACAATGAATTTAGAGTTTACTACATGTCGCTCTGCAATTTAATAACGATGATGATATTTAATAACGATAACGATTAGTCGAGCATGCACATCTTTTCAATTTAAAGATTCTATTACAAAATTATTATTATTATTATTGCTTGAATAGCGTTAGATAAACATAACTTGTTAATTACACGTACAGTGAACTCTCCCTAAACGCAACTCGTCGGGAGACATATGAAAATTGAACAGAAATGTGCATTTAGAGAAAAATTGCATTTATGGAGAGCATTTTACTTAATTATCTTATTAACTTGGGACCAAAACAAGGATTGCATTTAGAGAAAAAAAATAGTAATTGCATTTAGGAGGTTGCATTTAGAGAGAGTTCCCTGTATATCCAAAATTGTCTTTACTTTCACCAACATTTTGAGCTAATTTATCGGGAGCAATTATTTGAATAGTAAAAAAATGATAGTTCTGTGGGCGCTCGTTATAGTAACACTCTTTACCATGACATTTTCAACCTGGAATCGAATTTTCCCTAACATATATTTGTATATTCATAAAATAACATTTGAATACATGTATAACGATATTATCTCCCAATCACGTTACTATATCGAGCGCCCACGACTAGACATATTTTTGAAAAAAACAATGTTAACAAGATTTTTATGTTAAACAACAAAAAATTGTTAAACACAACGACGACTTTATTTTTAATATGAATTCGAATCTTATGAATATCTATAGACTTGATAAACAACACAAAATAGTAACGAAATTATTGATCCGATACAAAAATCAATACGGGAATAAACAAAATCGATCACTATCGATATACGGCACGAAATAATAGCGAAAACTAATACACAATGTGAATTAAACTAAGATTACTAAAGTCAGACCAATACGAAATAAAAAAAATGCTTAGAAAGAACAGAATAAAGGGCGATTTTGATTGATTAAAAGTAAAAAGTAATACGGGAATGTGAAACGAACGAATAATATTCAGAAATATTGTTGGGTACTAAATATTGATATTACATGTTGGTTGCATTAATACATGGGCACAATTGGCGTAAATTCTTCCTTAAATTGTGGTTGCATTGTAAAGAATTACCATTATCTTTATTTGGTGAAATTCTCGTAAACGCTGAACAATGATTCGATAGAAGCGCACTACTTAAAACATTGCTTATAGAAGGAAGAGATTGCTCGTGAGGTTTTTTCATATTATAACCAGAACTATTTGTATTAGGCGCACACAAATTTCCGGTTATCACATGCACATGATGCATTCGTAATAATCGATTTCGAAATTTTCCACTACCTTTAAACCCTTTTCTTTTGCGTAATGCATAAACGGAGGTATTTTTGTGGGTTACTCGTTCTCGGTTCGTTAAAGTTGGAAGCCAAAGAAGCGGTAATGGAGGTTCAAGGAAAGTTGAGCTAGTACCATCCTCGGATGTAAGCGAATCTGTGACGATGAAGTTAATATGCCGAAACGAATATCTATTGGATGACGCGTTCTTTGCGATCTGCAAGTCATCAATTAATTTCACAAGATTTTTGTAGACTCTACGAACAGCCGAAGTTTCACTGGATCGACTACGAACACGAATTTTTTCGGTAAGCATATTGCGCATAATCTCTAGAGGTTTTTCGGCGCTTGCCAATTGATTACCGCAATTAAATAATATGCCGTTATTTGATGAATTTGTATACGATAAAGACGCGTTAGAGTGTGGTTGAAGTCGATTGATTTCACGAATTACGATATCGTTTATCTCTGAATCTTTGATGTCATCTTGTGAAAAATATCTAAGTTGAACTCGATAAAGGATTCTGGAACATATCAGAATAAAGGGGTAATCATCGTGATCACTAGATATTTGATTGATGTCTATGAGTCCGTTAGTTTCATGTTTAGTAAGCCTGTCGGCTGACCTTGACATTATATAACGAACTATGTTCAAGGAAATTAAAAAATTCAAATACTAAGGAATATAAATAAGGAATGTAAATTTTGAATTTTTTAAGAATTTTTGATAAAAAGGATTCTTTACTCGCGAAAATTTCTTGACAAGAGAAGTTCTTTGCAAACAAAATCCACTTTATATATTTGAAGAGGTTTTCTATTTTACTCTCAAAAATTATGCTTTTGTCCAAAATAAGGTTTTGTTTGCAGCTTGCATTAATAAAATAATGAAAACGACATGGTTTATTTATTGGTTTATTATTATTTATTGATGGAGTCACATTGTATAGTTTGTGGAGACGTAAAATGCATAACAAAGCCGCAAGTATTTTATACCTCGGTAATAACTAGTAGCATCAAAAGCAAAGTTTTTTATTACTGCCAATTATGGATTAAATTTCTAATTTTAACTTATTTATATTGTTACTCTAAACCCACTTATTTATTAAATATTTAGAAACAAATGTACCGGTATTTATTCCAGGTTTCTATAAAAAAATTTGTCGGATCAGAGCGATTGTTCTATCGAATTTGGACTTATATTTCGGATTTAGCAAAAAGAATTGCAAGTTTAATTTCAGAATTTTGTTATAGAAGCCTTAATAAATACCGGTAAATTTCTGGATGAAAAAGACGAACATAACATATGATTCGTTACGAACTCGTGAAGTTCGAGTAATTGAGGTTAATACATGTATTAAGAAGTAAACAACAACAATAATGCAAGCATTTTTATTTCTCATGAAATACATGTAATTTGTTTCTGCCACATTATGCTACACGAAATTCGAAATGGCCAAAAAATTTTGAATTGCGAGTTGCACAATTCAATTTAATATTAACATTAACGTTAGTTTTTCCAGCGCACAAAAAAAAAACTTATACGTTCTACTATTTCGCATGTAATATTCACATTTTTTGTGTATTTTCTATCTGATTTAATGATTTCCCGTGCTTCAGATTTAATTTATGTTATTGGTACTCACTTTCTTTTGGTGCTGAATAACTTATTTAGTTATAAACTTTTTGTAAATTGGAATATTCATGCAGCAAGACAGTGAGTTTTTAGACTTATTAAGCCAAAAATTAGATCACAAAATCCAAACAACAATTAACAAGGGATATATTTCACTGCATTTTTTTCTATTATTTTTACTTTTAATGATATTGGAAATATTTCACCAATCAAAAAAATGTTTCTGTTAGTTTGCAGTCAAACTGACCACATTTCTTCGATTTAACTGTATTTTTAATTATATAGATAAAATACGTGATTGTTAACCTATATTATTTAATTAAAATACATAGTCAACTCCCGTTAAATCAAAGAAAAATATGGTCGGTTTAACGAGAGTTGACTATCTATTTTGGTTTTTCGAGTATTCACAAAAAAAAATGCAAATTTTGTATTGTTCGGCGTTTTATCAGATCTTTTATTTATTTACATCTTGAATTTAAAAACCAAAAAGATAAATAAGTTAAAATTTGGTTGCTTTGTTTCCTTTATTATTACGTGTATTTGCAAAATGCCTCTGCAGAAAATTACTTTTTTGTGGACTTTGTTTATCCATGTTTGTGCTTGTACCATATGGCACTGTTTAATACACCTTCCTGTAGAAAATTTAATCTTAATTTTTTTTAGTGAAACAATTATTCTGCAAACTGAATAACGACCGATTTCTTATTATTAAAAAAATGGCAATTTACTGAGAAGAGTACTTTAAACCGTGATACATATTAGTGACATGCAATAATTAAATTAGTGATTCGTGCTAAATTATTTAACCCAAACCTAAATTAAATTTATTATAAATTTTATAGATTCTTGTAGTCCTAAATTAGTTTAACTTATTTAATAATTTAGCCTATATAATCATTTAATAAGCCCTAAATTGTCCTAAACTATTTAGCCCGAATCACTATAATTAAAAAGATCTATTTAGTCGATTTCTACTTCCTTCCGAATGGTTATTTAGTGATGCAGAAAATAATATCCAAAGATTACGTACGTATTACGACATACGTACCGATACATAATGAAGCTGATGGATTATGGTGTCATCCACTGTAGATATTACGTACATGTAATAGAAAATTCTAATTCGATACAAAGCGTGCGGTTAACGATGATATTAACGGTTAGAATTTTTTTAGGTGGTTCTAATTACTAACATTTCTTTAACACAATTAAGATTTTAAATTTAGTTTTATTATGGACGCCATATATATATAACCTTAACAAACGTTTTCAAAATATATTAAATTAGTTTACTCTTATCACAGTTTGCAAAAAGGTGTGGGAAATCTGATAATCTGAGAAACTGTTCTCGTGATAAAAAGATGAATACTACGTTTTCATGAACGCGTTTTGGTTAACATAAAAATTAAAAACGAACGCAGTATTTATCCTTTTATCTCACGAATTTGTGTAATATTTTGATGTATACATTGATATTGGATATCGATATCTCTAAATTCTTAGATTATCAGATTTCCCACACTAACTGACTGCGATAAATGCTCACATGAATATTAAATGCAGAGCATTTCAAAATTATTTTAAATAAAACGCACCCGTTTGCATCATCGCACGTGTTACTTACATTACATTCAGCATGTGAAATTGTAACTTTTAATCTTCGAAACTCAAATATTAAAGTTCATTGACTGATCATCAAGCAATCCATATCTGAATTCCATTGAAAATAACATAGAAAGAAGCATATATACAAGAATACTAATAATTGAACAGATTAATGATTGAAGTGTAGGAAATATTTCGGAGGAAGCCATTGAAAATATTACCTATGTAATCTTCAATATAAATAATGTAATATTATAGAGAAAATGTATTTGTCACCGCCGGTGATAGTCACCGGTCACGTGTAGAGTTATGGTTAGAGTTAGAATTGGGGTTAGGGTTATATAGGATAAAGAGCAGATAACAAATTTCGCAATGAACATTTTTTTGTCAAAACATAACAGTTTCATAGGCAAAAATTCGAGATACAACTTTTTTTAAAAAGAGCGTTTTCTGATTTGCTTTAAATTTTGGCGTTACACTGATCTTGCGATTTGATTGGTCAATCACAACCTGGTAATTGTCACCGCGACGCCAAATAGACTCGCTCAATATTATAGTAAATTTACTTTTTCTTAAAAATGCTTACCAAAAAAATAAGAAATTTTAAAATTGTAATAAAAAATGAAAAAGTTTATAATTTATATTTATTCAAATTATTATAAAAAACAATTTATTTAAATTTTTGCAAAAATTGCTTAAATAATAGTAAATAAATTCTTTTTCTTAAATCAAGAATATATTTAATTTTAAAACTTTTTAAAATATAAATCCTTTGATTTAGTTGAAAAGTTTTCAAATATATCCATTTTATTTATTTCCATTATCAAATTAATATTTTTTCATTGTTATTTTTAAAAAATATAAAAAACTAATAAGTATAATAAAATATACTACTTATAAAAAATATTTTTTATACTTTATTTTGTATTGATATAATATAAAATTATAAAATTGCATAATAATATATAATATATAATATATAATATTTAATATTTAAAGTTATTAAATATTTATATTTTATAAAATGAATAAATTTGTAAATATATATAGAAAGAACTTATTTATTATATTTATGAATTAAATTTTATATTTACATTTTAGAAAAAAGTTTATTTATTTTATAAAATATAAATATTTGATAAATTTAGCCATATTAATACTAATTTTTTAAAATATATATATAATATTTATATTAATTTATAGTTTATATTTTTAAAAATAAATATGTAAATTTGATATATTTACTATTTATAAAATTTAAATTATTAAAAATTCAAATTTTTTAGTTTAATTTTTTTTAAGAATTTATAAAATAATATAATAATATTTTAATATAAAGCTTCAAATTTAATAATAATAAATATTAAAAATATAGTCTCAAATATTTTAGAGATTATTATTTTAATTCTATATTTTTAATAAATAAAATTATAATTTATTATCAATATATAATAAAATATAAATATCTTTTTTTAATTAATAATAATTATTAATATTTTTATTTATAAGAAAATACAAATAATAATTTATAAATTTTTTAGAAAAGATTTTTTAATTACAAAGTAAATTAATTAATTTTTATAATTAAAATATATTATTATAATATAAATATTTAATTATTATTTATAAATTAATTTATATTAAAATTTAATTGAATAATAATTATTTATTTTTATTAATAAAATTTAGTTTTATTTAATTAAATAATTAAATAGTATTTTATTACTGAATTTTTTATTGTATTATTCAAATTAATACTTATATAAAAATATAAATAACAAAAATAATATTTGTAATATTTATATTAATAAAATTAAAACTTTTAACAAATTAATTTATAAGATTAATAATATTAATTTATAAAAATTAGTAATATAATATTATAATTATTTATTATAAATATAATATATATCTTTAGCTAAAAATAAAAAAGCTTTATAGCTTTTTTTATTTAAAAAATATTAAGTTTCTTTTATTTAAAGAATTTTTTATTAAGTACACTTATTTAAAATTTTTTTATTTTAATTAATTTTTATATAATATAAGTCACTTAGTTATCACAATTAATCAAAGTTTTTAAGATTTATTAACTTTATAATTTGAGTTTTCCAGTCAAAAAAATATATAATGATATAAAGTAGTTGATAAACTATTAATTTACATATTTTCTAATTTTTTTGAATTATTTTGAGAGCTCTAATATAATTTGAAGTTAATTTTTTTGTATAATAATTAAGTAATTTATATTATATAATAATATTTTTAATATTTTATAATTTTTTATTTATTATAATTAAATAAGTTATAATATTATAATATAATTTTGAGTTAATAATAATTAAATAATTATTATAAACTCTTAATTAATAATAATTAAATATATTATTAATGGA